CCTTTTGAATGGTCCTCGGGCTGGAACTCAGGGCCTGGGCCCTTCCCTGAGCTTTTTGGCTTCAGGCTAGTGCTCTAGCACTGGAAGCAATACTCTGATTCTGCCTTTTGGCAGTTCCTTGGAGATGAGAGTCTCAAGACCATCCTGGCTGGGCTGGCTTGGAGCCACAATCCTTAGATCTCAGCTCTCTGAGTAGCTGACTGATGTGAGCCACGGGCTGCCGACTGCTGACTGCCTGTTCTGGAGCTCCTTGCGAAGTCACCGGCCTGGTAGAAGTGCAGTCATCAACCAGGCCGCCATGGCCCATCAGGTGTTCCTGGCAGAGCTAGACACAGGGGTCTAGCAGGCCTGGGCAGGCCTGTGGCCCCAGGGCCTGTTCTCTGAGGCTCAGCCCTTCGTATCTGACTCTGGAGCAGAGGAACACGTGGCCAGGAGTTTGGGTGGCATTGTCTACACCACGCTGGGGGACCCGAGGCATTGCTTGAGTAGCATTAGGTTTCCTGTCCCTGCTCCCCTGGCAAGCGTCCCCTGTGGGAGGGAGTGCCTCAGTGATGTGTGGCCCTTCCTGTGCCAGGTGAGACAGGGACCTAGAGCCTGAACAGCCGAGGACCTGGCAGGAGGCAGCTCCTGAGGGCATCCCCAGGGATCAGGGCTGTGTGGGCTGGGAGCCCCGAGAGACAGTCATGTCCAGGGGTACATCTAGAGGGGGAGGGGTGTGCTTGTGACCCCACGTGTATGTGTCTCCCCCACAGTGGGCGCTGCTGCCTCCAAGTCTATCCACCTGGGGACAGTGGGCTGGGGGTCGGGGCCGGGGTCATGCTGGCCAGTGGTGGTCATGGTGTAGGCCAGGCCAAGACACCAACAGGACACTCTGGAGAGCTTTGGTGTGAAGCAAGAGCTCAAGGGCCAGGCGTGCAGAGATGACCGCACACCCCTGACAATGGGTCAGAGAACTTAGAACCCTGGTGGCTCGAGGCAACCACAGTCCACACGAGCCCCTACGGAGAACTTGTGTGGATCGTTATCTCTTGAGAAAATGTTTGGCTTTTGTTGTACTGGTGGATGCGTAGGCCTGAGCGAAGAGCAGAGAGGATGCTGGGGCTGCTTGGGTCGACGCTTGGCGCGCCCTGGCCTCTGCTGCCGCCTCTCCAGATTGTGCCGGAGGAATTCGCAGGTGACAGGGGCAGTGCGGGCAGGAAACCTCCCATCTCCCTGCTCGTCACCCGCTCTCCCTGCGGGGTGTGCCTCTGTGTGTGCGCGGGCCTGTGTGTGTGTGTGTGTGTGTGTGTGTGTGCCTGTGTGTGTGTGTGTGTGTGTGCCTCTGTGTGTGTGTGTGTGTCTGTGTGCATGCCTCTGTGTGTGTGTGTCTGTGTGTGTGTGTGCCTCTGTGTGTGTGTGTGCCTGTGTGTGTGTGTGTCTGTGTGTGTGTGTGTGTGCCTGTGTGTGTGCGTGCCTCTGTGTGTGTGTGTGTGTCTGTGTGCATGCCTCTGTGTGTGTGTGTCTGTGTGTGTGTGTGCCTGTGTGTGCGCGTGCCTCTGTGTGTGTGTGTGCCTGTGTGTGTGTGTGTCTGTGTGTGTGTGTGCCTGTGTGTGCGTGTGCCTCTGTGTGTGTGTGTGCCTGTGTGCGTGCCTCTGTGTGTGTGTGTGTGTGTGTGTGTGTCTGTGTATGTGTGTGCCTGTGTGTGCACGTGCCTCTGTGTGTGTGTGTGTGTGTGTGTGTGTGTGTGTGTGTGTGTGCGTGGTCAGTGGTGTCTGGGTATTTGAGTCGGTGTGTGACCATGAGTGTTCTTGTAGTTCTCTGGATGCCACTTGAACTGCCCCTCCTTGGTTCTCCTCCAGCAGGGTCCTGACCCGTCCACAGACACGGACGAGGCCAGCGGGGCAGAGTTCCTCCAGGCAGGCACACTGGAGGAGCAGGTGGAGCGCTTGGTGCCTGCCCAGTTGCTGGAGGACTCCATGTTTATCCACGCCTTCCTCAAAACCTACAGGGAGGTGGCGGACACCCCCCAAGTCCTGGACCTGCTGTTCACAAGGTGAGCGCCAACTCCAATCGCATGGGAGCCCTCACCTGCAGTGGCAGCCTTGGGAACGGAGCTGGCAAGTGGGTGCTCACAGAAACTCGCTGGTTGGCGCTTGCCAGTGCGTGGAGAATCACGCAGGGAGGTCACAGGCTGGCCCCATGCAGGGTCCCGTCCAGGGCTATGATCCCTGCTCTGTAACTCTGCTTCTCTGAGGCCGCAGACAAAGCAGTGTGTCTGCTTGGCCAGAGGGAAGCGATTCTCTCTGCGAGGAGGGACCCAACCTAGGTGTGGACAGAGCAGGGCTGGCAGGGCAGAGGGAGGGCGTCTGGGCTCCCAGGATCATCAGGCAGCGGCGGCTTGTGCGCATCGTGGCACATAGGAAGGAGCTCCAGGGGAAGGTTCGATTTCCAGACCCTGAGCGGAGTGGAGAGAGAAGAGCAGGAAGCTGCCAGCTGCCCCAGGCTGGCCAGTGACGCTCAAATCCTCACCAGGTTCAGCACTTGTGAAGCGCCCACGGGCCCCTCTGGACAGACGGACACCCTCGCCCACTCCTGCGAGGATGTCATCCCTCGGGACCAGCTCTGTCAGTGAGTGGGCTTTGGTCTCCTTGGAGGGCGCGTGGCTCCACAGTGGTGACAAATGTGTGTGTGTTGGGGCGCAGGAGGGAGGGCTGGGCCAACTCCGGAGCCCTCGCCTTTTGTGCTTGTCCCTAGAGCCTTGAGCTGTGGGGCTCCTTCTGGAGCCAGGAAGATTTAAGCAGGCTGGTGGGGGTGTTTTGAGCAGGAGTAGAGGGTGGGCTCAGGGCTGAGACCCCCACTCCCACCGCCATGTACATCCATCGTCCACAGAGCCCGTGCCATGCAGGCTTCTGCCAGCACACCATGATTCCCAGAGTAGGGCCAGGGTCATCTGTGCTTGGTCACAGCCCTCAGCTGGTGTGAGGCGTGTGTGTCAAAGCGCAGGGCCATGCTGTGGCACCCACACACAGAAGGAGAACCGTGTGGATGTAGCCAGACGACGCAGTGGGGCCCATGGGGAATGAGGCAGCAGACTCCCCACAGACGTGCAGCAGAACCCTATGCGTGCCAGGCTGGACACCAAGCCGTGTTGCTGACCAGCGTGTAGAGGCCCAGGGGAGAGAGGCAGAAGGGTTTCGAAGGTACAGAGGAGGACAGAGCTGATGGCACAGCATTTGGTCGTGGATCTCTCCCTTGAGTTTCTCTTCAGGCCTTTCCTGGGCCAGCCTGTCACTGATGCCACAGCCCCAAGGTGCTGGTGTTGGGTGTGCTGGTCTCTGCAAGGACCGCCACCATCCCAGGGGCAAGAGGGAGACCAGCGGCCATGCTGGCCTGGAGTCCGAGTCTGCTCCCCACCCATCTGCCCCTAGTGCCATCACGTGCCTCCTGGGCTCCTGGCTGGACTTGTATCCGGAGGACTTCCTGGCCAACGCACAGCTTCCCTGCCTCCAGCGCCTCCTGACACCTGAGGCTGCATATGCCGGACTCTGACATGGAGCGCCATGTCTCCCATGTCCTGGCACAGCTGGGGATCGAGACACCCAGCCAGGACGAAGCTACGGGTGTGGAGCCGGGGCCTGAGACACAGCCCGTGCAGGGGTGGAAGGGGCAGGGCAGCCCTGGGAGGAGGCTCCCAAACTCACCATGGACCAGCAGCTAGAGGAGCCTGAGGCCCACCGTGGGCTCAGGAGGGAGGTTGAGCAGTGGGCTGTGTGGTTTCCCACGCTGGGAACATTGCCTCTGTCCCAAGTTTCTGCCTAAGGCCTCAGGTCTGATATGACACTTTTAATTTGGAATTTAAAAGATATTGAAAACTTAAAGCCTCTGTCCCGAGTTCCTCAGAAGCCACAAACACAGAAACACACACACACACACACATACCACAAGCACAAATACATGCATGAAGTATGGACTTGAGACATTATCTTTTACTGGGGTGCGGGACTGGGAAGATAAGCACAAAGAGCAGGTAACATTTTACATTTTAAATGTGAAACTTGAAAAGCATAGCCGAGCAATGCAGAGCCTTTCAGGGCGGGAGTTGCTCTTGAGGTCCTGCTGGCCTCCCCGGGGCACATGCGTGTGAGAATTCTGTCTTTGACCAGAGGGATGGGAAAGGCAACTTAGATCTAAACCAGTGACCAAACGCAGATGCATACAAGGTGGTATGTTAGCCACAGAAGTTGGCCCGGGATGGAAATGCCACCACGGAGCCAGCTGTCAGGGGATGGCTCAGCCCAGCACCTTCTCTTGGGGCTCATCAGCCTTCTCTTGCCTTCTTAGGCCCACTGCTTCCACTAAGCCATGACAAGTAGCAGATCCTGAGACACATCTGGAGTGGTGTTTCAACCTCTTCTATGGGGGTCAAGGAAACTACCCTGTACTCCTCAGGCGATAACCCCTGACCTTCCAGCTATAGGGGCTGTAACCTGTAGGTTGTGGCCTCAGCCCCTTCTCAGCCTGTCCATCTTTCCCATTGATGACCCGTGTACAGCTAAGTACCTGTGTGTGCACACTCTAGTCAGGGTACTACAGGGACTGAGGCCTGAGCCCAGTCTGGAGCCCAATACTCTGGTTCCACCCAGCATCCTCTGTGGCAGCGTGCATGGCAGACACGGAGTGGCATGTAGCGTGGGCCGAGGGGTCACCATCACACAGCTGTACCTTCAGAAAGCTACACACCTGCACTTGTTTCCTTGCTGCTCTCGTCTGGGTCCGCTCCTCTATCCTGCACATCCTTGGGGTGGAACGCTGCTGTTCAGTGACTTCCAACAATAATGGCATTTATCCTCCACTGCAGAGCTGGCCGTGTTTGTGGTCAGGAAGGGACAGGCCTGTGTTCTGTGCCAAGTTCCCTGGTTCCAGGATCCAGTGGTATAAAGGGCAGCTGAGTGAGGAACCAGCACAGGCTCCCCCAGTCCCACGAGCAAGCTGTTCAGCAGCTGTGAGAACAGACCCCAGACATGAAGACCCTGCTCCTGAGCTTCGGCCTGGGCCTCGTTGCTGTCCTGCAGGCTCAGACCCTTCCGACTGTGGTGGAGGAGGAGCAGGAGGTGAGCCTCAGATGGGGAAAGGCACTGAGACAGCTGGTGGAAGACCCCATTTCTCCCTTGGACCCCTTCCCTAAGGGAATGTGAGATGCAACATGGGGTGTGTGGTCCAAGCCGGCCCACAGCACAGCAGGGGTGGGAGGTGGGCACGCCCCTCACGCTTCCCTCTCCCCTGGGACTGAAGGAGCCTGCTCTCAGGTGGGCCTGGTGAGAAGGGTCGGTAATTTGGGGATGGGAATGGAGATTAGAGAATGTTCCTGGTCTGCAGACCTTGGAGGCCAAAGTACATTTTGGGGCTCCAGAGCAGGGAAGAGCACAAGCCCAGAAGCTCTTCCCAGACCGCGACGGACAGGCACTTTCCCCAGGTGTCAGGGTTTTGGTATTTGAAGGCCACAGCATCGAGCAAGAGGATTCCAGAGAGCATCCTCCGTGACCATCTTGACCCTGGAGGGGGGCCTTCTGCAAGTCAAGTCCGCTTTCCAGTGAGTGCTGCTGGCTGTGTAGCCAGTGACCTGCTTGGCCTTCCTTTGCCTCACAGGAGAGCTTGAAGCTGGGTGGGGGCAAGAAGATGGCACTTGGAACCCCGTCTCAGCCCCGGGGACCCTTGGCATCTGAACCACTGAGGTGGCTTTGGGTCAGGAGGTGCTGGGGAAGCTGGGGGGGGCCTCACGGGGACTGTGGGTTGTATGTGGGTGGCGCCTGCTTTCTCTTTGATGGGGAAGTGCCTGTTGGCCAGACCCCCTGGGGAGGGAGTTTCACTCTCAGACCCAATCAGAGCTTGTTGACCTGTTTCATGAACCCTAGGATTTATAGCCCTTCTAGAACATTTCTGCTTGGAACCCTACGAGTGCAGGACTTGCAGAATGACCAGAAGAAGGTATCAGACACGAGGGAGTAGGCTTGTCGGGTACTGTATAAAATCTGAATTCACACATGGTTCTCGCTCTGTGAGGCTCATAGCTCCGTGACTTCCCACCTGGATGGGTCACACCTATAAACACCGTATCCGTGGGTCTCCCTCCTGTGTGGACCCCATCTGGGAGTGCTTCTCCCAGACAGCCATGACCGTGTGCTGTAGTCCTGGGATCCAGCCCTTAGACGGCACCAACCTTGACAGTGACCTTGGACTTGTTTATCTGTTTTTCTGTCTTACGATTGGAGTTTTCCCCCATGATATCGTGTGCCCATGGAGACACAGCTGTCTGTGTTTCCAGCGATGGAGATGACCTGGACGGGGTGAGGGTCAGCCAGCAGACCCATCACAACAAGTGACATCTGATGTCCAAGTAGAATCCTTCTAGAGCAGGGTGAGTGGGAGGACAGTCCACTCTACTGTGCAAGGAGTCGTGGCCTCGCTGAAGCCCGGGGAGCTGCCACGTAGTACAGAGAGATGAATGTTACCTAAACCTGAAATATGGTAAAGCGTGCTCCTCCTCCTCGGGCCTGGCCCCTCCCTGGCCTGCTGTGGGTGTGGACCATGGCTGCCCCCACCAGAGGAACCCTGTATCAGGGCAGCCTTGTTCACTGAGCTTCTATCTTCCAGGATTGTGGGTCAGTGCCGGGAAATGAGCGCCATCCTAAAGAAAACTGATGAGCCAGGCAAATACACAGCCTATGAGTTGAGGGGCCTTTGAGGGCCCCACCCCCAAATCAACCCCTGTGACAATGGGGGCCCAGCAACCCCTTGCGACTTGAGGCCTTTTCTCACCTTCTGGTTCCTATTATATTTCCACTACTCTCACCTGACACAAACACCAGACCTGGTGTGATGAGATTGCCTCCAGAAGTTACCGGATCGTCCTGGCTTTCCCCTGGGCCATCGCTGGGTTCCGGGCAGGGTTGGGAACAGGGCTCCCGAGCAGTTCCCTGCACAGTGTATTTGTCTTTCCTGGGCTGAGCTGCTTCCTGCAGTCTCTGCCGGTCAGTCGTATGCCCCCAGACCCACCTTTGACTTGCTGCTTTCACACGTGTTCACCTCTCAGGTTTGTCGGGCCCGTGGGAAGCAAGGACCCAGCGAACTGTGGGAACATTGTGTCAGGGAATCCTAGGCGATGCTAGAGCATGGGCCATCTTGAATCCTTGCTGCAGGATCAGATACTGTGTCTTTGTCCTGCAGATGGTGACAAGTATGTAGTGTACATCATTAAGTCAAGTGGGGAGGACCACTTGGTTCTTTATTGTGTGGGCAAGCTGCTGGATATCGGATCCAAATAGCAAAACTTGCGCGTGAGTCATGCTGTTCAGTGGTCCCTCTCTCTGCCTTTGCCTCCAGTCCACTTCTTCCCCGGGGAAAGTTTCTAGAATCCAAGTCTAGGTATCTGTCCTGGAAGGCAGGAGGGAGTTACTACTGTGGGCAGAGAGATTCAGGTGTGATCAAGGAGCAAACCTTGCAGTGTGGGTCGTGAGCAGCTTTCCTGAGGGGGCGGGTCCCAGCAGGAGAGAGGCACAAAAATGGGGAGAGAGGGCTGCATGCAGACAGCACCTCCAGGCACCTTGTGGGTGTCAGTGCCCTTTGTACCAGAGATCAAGGTCCTGGAACCTCCTGCACTTTTCCTAAGCTCAGGAGAAAACATGTGTGAGCAGGGAGCAGAGGAAGGCGCGGTGTCCCGAGCCCCATGGACGGGTGCCCACTCCTCCAGGGCGCATTGGTCCTGCCACCCCTCCTGGCCTGGGCCAGGCACAGGGTGCTGAACGGAGAGTGGCCCTGTGTCCCAGCCCAGCTGCCGTGGACTGTGGTGGGACTGTCATGGCTCCCTGGTGGTCCTTGCCTAGCCAGGCTCCAGGCCCAGCCCCGGCCTCCAAGCCAGGCCCCTCAGGGTGGGCGGGGCCTCCCGCAGCCCAGCCTGCTCAGTCCTGCAGGCTGGGCTGATATGCCAACAGTCACTCACGCTCCTGTCTCCACCATCCTCACCTGCAGGCACCGACCCTGACTTCAACCAGGAAGCCCTGGAGGACTTTGCGAATGTCACAGGAGCCGGAGGTCTCAACACAGAGAACACTATCATTCCCAAGCAAAGAGGTAGGAAAGAGGCCCCCACCTAGTGGGGCCTCCCCATGGAGGGAAGGCCACTGCGTCACTTCGCGGGGTCAGGCCGCCTCCCATGCTGACTGTCCCTCTGGGGTCGTGGGAGATGCTGGCGATGGAGGAGCTGGGGTCTCGAGTGAGCTGCCGCGGTCTGAATCCTGTTTTTCTTTCTCTGACAGAAACCTGCTCTTCAGGAAGCGATTAGGGTAAGAGGCGAGTTTCCGAGGACATTGAGAATCCCCAGTGCTGGGTTGATGGGGTTTCGAGAGACCCTGAGGTCTGTCCTCCCTCCCTGAGCCTCCCTGGGCAAGAGAGCCCACCTTTCCCAGCAGGAGTGGGCCCTGCTCCTGCGGGACTCCCTGCCACGAGCACTCAGCTCAGGTTTCCTTCGGGAATGTCCTACAGGACTTTAGCGTCCCTGAACCCCTTGTGGCTGTGATACTTGACAGTTGGTGGCTCGGACGCTTGCCATGGTCGCCTGCCCAGCAGAACAGGGCCAGACCCTCACGGCTGCCCCATCCTGCTTTGCCAGGGCACTGGTATGAGGCCAGCTGTCCCCTCTTCACACATGGCATGGGGGCAGCCTGAGGGAAGAACGTTCGGTGGTGACAAAGCCCTCAGGAGCCCAGCATTCCCTTTCCTGCTGCCCTGGCCTCCCTCCCATCATGACCTCACAGACCCCTCTCCTTTCCAGGTCTCAGGCTGCAGAGCAGCCGGGGCAGCACTGTGTTGAGCCTGTCCTAGTGGACAGGGAAAGAGCCCGTCCTGGGCCCAGCTGTCACCACCACCTGCTTCCCCCTGCCCTCACCCCCACCCCTTCTCAATAAAGAGCTTCAGCAGTGCTTGGTGGTCCTGTGTGTCTATGGGTTCCCTCTGTGGGCTCTTGGGGGGGGAGTTTCTGAGAGTGTGGGGTGAGGGTGAGAGAGAATTCAGGCTCAGCCTGTTCTGTGACGGGGCACAGAACGGAAGTGGAAAAGGCTGGCTGCAGCGGTGGGAGCCACTCGCTGTATTTGAGGGTCTCCCTGGGTGCCTCCCACAGCTAGGGCACCCTGAGGCCCTGGGAGTAGGGAGCAAGGCACTAAGCCACAGTGCCACACAACTAAGACTTGTGTGACCTGGGACAGACTGGAGCTTTGAGTTGGAACAGCCGCCTGCACTATTGTTGTTGGCACCAATCCTGAGTGGATAGGCTGGGCGCTGGGGTGGCCCAGGGCAGTGATCCTGGGTGGACAGGCTGGGCATTGGCATGTCCCAGGGCAGTGATCCTGGGTGGACAGGCTGGGCACTGGTGTGGCCCAGGACAGTGATCCTGGGTGGACAGGCTGGGCGCTGGGGTGGCCCAGGGCAGTGATCCTGGGTGGACAGGCTGGGCATTGGCGTGTCCCAGGGCAGTGATCCTGGGTGGACAGGCTGGGCATTGGCATGTCCCAGGGCAGTGATCCTGGGTGGACAGGCTGGGCACTGGTGTGGCCCAGGACAGTGATCCTGGGTGGATAGGCTGGGCGCTGGGGTGGCCCAGGGCACTGAACCTGGGTGGACAGGCTGGGCACTGGGGATTCCCAGGGCAGTGATCCTGGGTGGACAGGCTGGGCGCTGGGGTGGCCCAGGGCAGTGATCCTGGGTGGACAGGCTGGGCATTGGCGTGTCCCAGGGCAGTGATCCTGGGTGGACAGCCTGGGCACTGGAGATTCCCAGGGCAGTGATCCTGGGTGGACAGCCTGGGCATTGGCGTGTCCCAGGGCAGTGATCCTGGGTGGACAGGCTGGGCGCTGGGGTGGCCCAGGACAGTGATCCTGGGTGGACAGGGTGGGCATTGGCATGTCCCAGGGCAGTGACCTTGGGTGGACAGGCTGGGCGCTGGGGTGGCCCAGGACACAGCAGTGTGTGAGCAGGGCATAGCACAGGCTTCAGCTAATTAGGGAGGCAGATCCCACTCTTAGCTTCTTGGCAGGGCCTGGCACAGGCAGTGGCACCGCCCTGTAGGTGGCAGCTAGGGATCCTCTCCTAAATCCAGTGGGGCTCAAAGTGAAATAAGGATATGAGTCAAACTGGTACCATATTGACCATGAGGTGGATGATAGGAATTGGGTTTAACTGATGCCATCTTGTCTTCCTGGTAGAGTCAGGGAAGCTCCACCCTCAGCCTGAATTCTTAGAGGCAGGGGCAGGGACTTGGATGATAGATTACTGGAACTGTCAGTCCCGTGCCTTGAGTTCATGAGACCCTCAAGTTTCCTGTGACCCTGCCCCCTGCCCCTGTCCCTAATTAGGCCTGGACCAACCCAGACACCACTATGCCATGCTTCGCGTTTCCAGCTCCCCTCTGGTCAGCTCTCCATTGGAGCTGATCTGGTTTATTGGTATTGTTTTTCTGTTCTTTCTTTCCTCTCCTGTCCTTATGGCTGTTTTCTAACAGTGTTAAGTGTAGTTGAGGGTCTTCAGGTCTTTGTGACAGGCGTCCACCCGTAGCCGTCGGCTCTCCAATAAAGACTCCCAGATGGACCTCTCAAAATGTGGCTTCTCTGTTTTCTCATGACTGAACTCGAGTGTAACAGAAGTACCGCCTGAGCCACTTGATCTTGTGGTGTCTGGAAGATGGACGTGAGAGGCTCAGGGAATGTGTCAGCCTGCACAATGGCTGTCCAATTATTACAGATGACCTGGGAGCCCAGCTGACCAGCTGCCACCGCTGATGCCTGGATAGATGTCCTCTCAGTAGCATTCTGGTCTGGACTATTGCAGTATCTTTCCAACTGCTTGTGTATTCTACTCACCCCCATGTCTGTTCTCAGTATAGAACCTGTAGTGACCTTCTAAAAGTCTGAGTCATGTCCTGACTCTGTCAGAGCTCCCACCCCCAGCATCTCCTCATTTTACTCAGGGAAAGGACCAAAGTACCATGGTGGCCCAGAACCCATCCAAGTCAGTCCCACCCCCTCCGTACTCCATCAAAGCCCCGAGGACCTCCCCATTCCACTCAGGGAAGGACCAATGTCCTTGCAGTAGCCAGGAGCCCACCTCGTCAGGCCTGCCCACTCTGTGTTCTACCCAGAGGGCAGCCTTCTACCCTGCAGTCTGTTCCTGGCACCGCCCCAGCTCCCTCTCCCCTCTGGAACTGCACTGTGGGCCTCTCCCAGCTGACTCCTCCTCCACCTGACTCTCATGGCTCATTTCCCCCACTATCTTCAACCCCAGGTGCAAATGTCAACTCGGGGAGGTGACGTGTGCCATTCCCTTGAAAATACAAACACCCCCTCTTGCCTCAACCTTCCCTGTCCACTGTGTTCCCTTTGCTTTTTCCTCATCACACTTGTGACCTTTCAGAATAATTTGTAATTATATACATCAGTGTTCAGTCAGGAGGCAGGACCACGCGGTAGACAGAACAGGGAGAGAGTGTGTGGTGAACACTTGAACAGTTGCCAGCACCAGTGTAAGGAGGACAATGGAGAACAGCCCCAGGCTGCCGGAGAGCAGCCGAGGAAGGACTGACGGGGCTGAGACCCCTCCACGAGGCTCAGGCCCTGCCTCTTTGGTGTGCTTGCGGCCCAGGGGTGGTGGGCGTTCTCTGGGCTGCCAGGGGAAGAGCTGTAATGGACAGTGCACATGGCTGGTGGGCAAGGCGGGTGGCCATATCCCTTCCCTTCCAGATATGGTGACCTGGGGCTGGGAAGCCCCAAGGCTCGCTGGGAGCCACTGGTGGAGTGTCACTGAGCTCAAGAGGAAGCCACGTGCTGGGGCCACTGAGCCAACAAAGAGAGCTCACGATGTCCCCTACTTGTGACACTGGTCATTACACAGCAGGAGGATGGAAAAGAGTGAGCTGGAAGCATCCTGGGACTAGAGGGGAAGGCCCTGCTTCCTGGGCCTCTAATAAAAGTTATATTCATGCTGTGAACAGAAGGAAAGTGCCAACGAGTCCTCCTCCATTATTATAGAGCAGGCAATGAAGGGTGTGCTTGGAGTTAAAGGCAAGAGCTTGATATGCGACATCACAGTTCACTCAAGCATTTTGTGTATTTTTCTCTTTTTTTGCCTCTAGAATGTGAATTCCAGGACAGCAAGCACATTAGGTTTGCTTCCTTCCCTGGTGAGTTCCTGTGTCTAGAAGAGTGCTTGGCCTATACTGTGCAAATGTCATTGAATATATGGGTAGATATTTTATTCCTTCAGAGCATCCACAGTATCTCATCTAAGGGAAATTTTGACTTTGATCAGACCACTGTCATCTTGTTAGATACTGGAGGTATTGGTAACATTTGCAATTAAAGTATTATAATTATTGGATACTATGAATGCTGCCAGTTCATGGGTACAGAAAGTCTTTCCATCTCTTCTTCTGTGTGTGTGTGTGTGTGTGTGTGTGTGTGTGTGTGTGTGTGTGTGTGTGTGTGTGTGTGTGTGTGTGTGTGTGTGTGTGTGTGTGTGTGTGCCTCCCAGTCAGAGCTTGAACTCAGGGCCTTGATGCTGTACTTGATCTTTTTTGCTCAAGGCTTGTACTCTGCCACTTGAGCCACAGCTCCACTTCCTTTTTTTTTACTGATTGGAGATGAGTTATGGACTTTGCTGCCCAGGCTGGCTTCAAACCACAATTCTCAGAACTCAGCCTTCTGAGTAGCTAGGATTACAGGTCAATCTTTCCATTTTATAGTATCTTCTTCAACTTTCTTCTTCAATGTTTTATAGTTTTCATTGTAGATACCTTTCCTTCTTGGTTTATTTCCAGATATTTAGTTTATTTAGTTACTGAGGCTATTGTGAATAGAATTATTCTCTCAATTTTTTCCCCAGCTTTAATTAATGGAATATTTTGATTTTTGTGTCATGATATGTGGCTTAGGGTGTTTATCAGATCTAAGAGTTTGATTTGGAATTTTTTTTGGGGGGGTCCAGTCATGGGGCCTGAACTCTGGGCCTGGGCGCTGTCCCTCAGCGCTTCAGCTCAAGGCTAGCGCTCTACCACTTGAGCCACAGCGCCACTTCCGGCTTTTTTCTTTTTGCTTATGTGGTGCTGAGGAATCGAACCCAGGGCCTCAGGCATGCAAGGCAAGCGCTTTACCACTGAGCCACCTTCCCAGCCCTTCCTCCCTCATTTTAAAATACAGACCCATGTGCCAGCACACTGAATGACGGGTCTTCCCCTCCCCAGCCCTCATCGCATGGCTGCTCTGTGAGCACTGAGTTGCTATTCATCAGATTCCAAAAATAACACCCTTCCACCTCCATGATGGACGTAGATTTGGCCATGACAGTTGGACAGGAGGAGTGTGGTCAGTGCCATGTGGGCATGGGCTACTGGCCATGGGGGACATAAAAGGCGTCAGTCTCCTCTAGACAACACAGAGACCTGCCTCATCTGTGAGCACAGAGCCCAGAGATGAAGACCCTGCTCCTGACCGCCGTGCTGCTCGGGCTGGTGGCTGCCCTGCAGGCCCAGGAATCCCTGTCTGTCCTCTCGGAGGCACAGAATGTGAGGCTGCATGGGGCCTTGGGAGGGTAGGAGAAAGGCTGGTGACTGGTGGGTGAGCAGTGGTCCCGAGCCCTGTTTCAGGAGTGTGTCTTGGAGCGGTCAGATACAGCTGTCCCTGGAGTCTGCCATTGGACCAGGCTCCCCCAGGCACTGGGATAGGGGCACAGGCTCTCCTGGGCACAGGGATGGAGCGGGGGCAGGTTTGGGTCAGGGGTTCCATCCAGGTGACCCCTGGAACCAGAAGTTCTCACAGGGCAGACCTGCAGGAATACAGATTCACCTGTTACAGAGTCCAGACCCCAACGAGAACAGATCCTTGGGGAGCAGAAGCCCTCTGCCCCTCTGAGATCACAATCTGAGAGTTCTGGGCTCAGCTTACTGAGCACAGTGGTGCAGCACGTCGGGGCGCGCCCATCTCCGGGGCGGCAGCCGGAATGTCTGTTTAGACTGCGGGTGGCATGTCACGGCCCGGGGAGACCTGGGCTGGGCTGGAGTGGGCTCACCCCTTGGTCTGCTCTAGCTCATAGGGACCTGGTACGAAAAGGCAGTAGCAAGTCACAAGAACACGGCCAAGGAGAAGATGCACAAAGAAGCGTTTCCCATAACAGTGACAACCCTAGAAGGTGGAAATTTGGAGGCCAGGGCCACCATCATGTGAGTCTCACCATGAGGGACTCCTCGGTCCAAGTGTTCTGCCCTGGCCCACCTGTGCTTTGGGAGTTGGCCTCTGAATGCTTAAGGCAGGAGTGCAGTGGGATTTTCAGGGACACCAAGTGAGGGAGGGCCACTATACCAGGTAAGCTGAGCAGGGTCAGGCGGGCATCCTGAGAGCACCATGGCCCCTGTTTTCCAGGCATGAGGGTCGGTGCCATGAGATAAAAGTTCAGATGCAGAAAACCAATGAGCCTGGAAAATACATAGATGGTGAGTCTGGCCTGATCTCCTGATCCCTGGGGACAAGGGTGCTACCCTCTGTCTCCCTTCCTGGGTGCCTGTGGCCTGACACCAGCCACCAGCTGTCACAGTCTTGTTCACAGCAGAGATGGACGTGGACTTCCCTCCCTCCAATGGTCCTGGCTCCTCCACTGGGAAAGTTAGGCCTACGGGAAGCAGGGAGGAGTAGAGACGGGAGAGTGGGCCTCGCTAACACCTGACCTCCTCTGCTGTCCATCCCCTGGGCTCCACGGCTGGGACTGGCTCCCTCCAGGAGGGGCTTCCTGTCCGGTGACTGAGGCCACAGCAAGGCCTGGGCCAGGCTGGCTAGGAGTCATCATCAAAACGTTCTAGACTCTTCCTTCCTGTGGCCTGGAATGCTTTCTCCAGGCATGAAGATGCTAAAGAGCTGTTTGCTCTATTTCTACAGTAGAAGGAAAGAAGACCTTTTACATAGAGCATCTGCCCATGAAGGACCACTCCATCTTCTTTGCTGAAGGCCAGCATTTTGGGAAGACATTCCGCATTGCAAAGCTCATGGGTGAGAGCCCCTCAGAGACTCTCCTCTCCTGCCCTACCATCTGGGCTTCTAGAAGCCAGTGGAATGGGCAGCAGCTGTGGCTACTAGGACTCTCTCGGGCCTGCTTCTGGGTGTTGGCCTTGGTGTGCTCCCAGGGAGACCCCGGCTCTGAAAGGGAAGGAGGGTCAGCTGGGTGGGGGCTTCAGGGGCGGTGTCCAGTCCCCAAGGCAGGCAGGAGTCACTTCCTGAGATCTCAGGATGGGAGGGGGTCATGGAGACAGAGGGTCCTTCTAGGCCAGTGGCGTGGGCCCACTGGCCTCCTCAGGCCCCCAGGTCACCCCGGGGCTCAGCGAGTCCCCACCTCAGACCTCCTGGTCTGCCGTTGGGCCTCTCCACTTTGCCCTAAGCCACTGAGGGCGAAACCCTCAGTGCCGGCCAGTGGCCAGGTCCTCCCGTCAGCAGCTGGCGGCAGAGCTGTGTCCCCACCGCCCCTCTGCTCAGCGGCCCGCCCCACCCCACAGGAAAGACGCCTGAGCCAAACACAGAGGCTCTGGAGGAATTTCAGAGATTCGCACAGCGCAAGGGATTCCAGGAGGAGAACATATTCATGCCCAAACAGAAGGGTGAGAGGTCTGCCCCTCCCGGGTGCCCTCCCTCGTGGCTCCCCTGTGCCCCCCTGTGCCCCCTCTGTGGCCCACGTGTCTCGGTCCTGGTGTCTCCCTGTGGTCCCCTCCCCTCACAAGGGCCCTGCTTCCGGTCTCAGGGTGTGGTGGGGTTGGAACCCTTGGCCGGGCCCCTTCTCACCCCTGGCTGTGCCTCTGTTTCTACAGAAACCTGTGTCTCAGAATAACTGGGGTAAGTGTCCTCCTCCCCCAGGGGACGGGAACAGCCGAGTCCCACGTTCTCTCCACGGAGTTTCCGTGGGCTGTGTCTGGCTCTCCTGCCCAGCAGATGGGAGCCCCTCTGGTCAGGCTGGTGGGGGGTGTCCTCCGGGAGCTTTGGGAATTCCTTTCTTTTGTCAACATCCTTGTGTGGAGAGCAGGGAAGTGGAGGTCCCCATACACCCTTGACTGACTCTGGGAGAAAGCTGCCCTCCTCACTGTGCAAGGTGGGCAGGGAGGGGGGGGTCTCACGGAGGAGGAGGGGGTGGGGGAGGGGGAGCGCCCAGGTTCCCAGCCAGAGGCGCAGAACCAACCCTGGCAGCAATGACCGACACGTGGCATGGCCAGATCACCCCCCCCAGACCCCTCGCACACCTGCGAGGACGCCTTTAGACCCCTGGTCAGGAAAGAGCTCGATGGCTCTTGGGGCCGCAGCCGCCCAGCAGGCACAGAAGCCAGGAGCAGGACAATCCCTGATCTCCAGCTGCCCTGGTCAGCTGCAGCCGAAGCCTCACCTCTGCTTCTCCTCCCACCACACCAGCCACCTGGATCTGCTCCTCCTGGGCCCACGCTGCCGACAGCACAGAACGGGACCTCCCTGGACCCCCTCCCCCCAGAGCACCCTCCTTCCTTAGCTCTCTGCTCCCCTCGCTGACCCCACCTGACTGCAAATAAAGTCTCCCGCAGCGGCTCTGGGTCGGCCTGTCTGTGAAGGGGTCTTGGCTGGGCTCCCCGAGAGCTCTGCCAGGATGCAGGCCTCGGGGGAAGTGGGGAGACGCAGGACCCAGCAGGGTCCAGATCTGCAGGGGCACGGAGTCCAACAGCCCTGTAGAGACACCTGATGCACCTCCGCCCCACGTGTCTGGAGGAGGCCGGGCCCCGGACAGAGGCGTGTGAGAAGCCACTGGGCAGGGCGGGATGGAGATGGTGTCCTTGGCTGGGCTCGTAGGGGATCCTGGCAGGAGTTCCACTTCACTCAGCCTGGGCTCAGTGGTGAGGGCGGAGGGAGAGTGGCTGGTCTCTACCCTTTACCCCTCAACAAAGCCAGCCATATCAAGGTAGGTCCTTGTCCCTACCTTAACCCTTCCCATGGTTGGCCCATGAACTAGGGTCTGGATAGGTCCACAGAAACATGGAGAGCCATAGAGAGGGAGGAGAGGTCCTGTACCCCAGGCGACAAACGAAGATGCCTCAAACTGCCAGTCCCAAGCAGACTGGGCTACAACAGAATGAGTTTGCGCAGTTCCCTGAGGCTCAGCCCGGTGAGCTCAGTGACGCTTCAGTGTGACTCTGACCACGACCTGTCTCCTTGCTTTTCTCCTCTCTGGACCTGGCTCTTGGTAGGGGCTGCTGTGCGGTCCTCCATGGAGCCATCCCAGCAGGTGCCAGGTACAGCTCCAGGCAACCTGGACATCATGGAGGGAGGAGGCAGACCTGCCTTCAAACCTGAGAACACCTATGAATACATGTCCCAGAAGAAAATAGAATTACCCTTCTCCTTATTCGCTCACAATTATCCCCCAAACTCCTTTTCTTGAAATTAAAAGAAATACAAAATGAAAGATCATATTTCCTAATGCTTTCTCAGGTGGGCAGGGCAACCCTGGGGTATTGCCTAATTTCCCCAGGTCCTCTCAATTTGACACTTCCATTTTCCTGCAGAAACCTGCTCTCTGGGAAGCAAACCGTCTAAGAGTTCCCTTTGAGGGGACACCTGGGAGCACCCCCATTCCAGGGGTGGGACTTCACAGGGCCTGGCATCTATCCCCATGGGCAGATGGGACTCCGCCTGGTGGATTTCTTTCCCCGATGCCTTTTCCCAGGAAGCGAGGAATCTGTCATCCTAAGTAGTCCTGAGGTTCGTTGCTGGGGGTGATACCATCCTCCTTCTATCATCTACTGTGCTTGTCAGCATGTGGGAAATTCCCCCTATTTCTCCCCTTGCCTATTGGTGGCCAAGGAGGTTCCATGCCCTCCCTGAGGTGCCTTAAAGAAACGTGGCAGCAATGGCTGTTGGACTTCAGAATCCCAGGCCACTTGTAGCTGTGGAATGTTGGTGGGCTGGAGGTCTAGACGTGCCTTGCGTGGGCAGAGCTGCCAGACTCCAAACAGCATCCCTGTCCTTCTCTCGTCCTTTTGTTGGCGTGAAGTCACCTGCCTCCTTTCTACACAGGGACGTGGTACTTAATTATGCAGTTATGAGGGAATCTCATTGTGGAATTTCCGTGTGTGCATGCCATATACTTTGGATCATATTCACCCCTTGTATTATGGGATTGTTTTCCTGACTTCTTTCCCAACTTGTTTGTTCTTAGTCTATAGAAAAATCTAGTCTTTTTTTTCACAATGATTTTGTAGCCTGGTTTTTTTTTTTTTTTCTGAACCTGGAATGGGTGGTCTGCCTGGAATGATCTGCCCCTAAATAGAGGAGTCTCGTATGTGCCTCAAGCTCTAGGAGCTTTGCAGACAAGGGCTACACCAGCCAAGGTATTGGTCTGGACTCCTTCACAGGAGAGGGGACTCTGGGTGGTACATTTCTCACTGCAAAGCGAAGCCCACATGCATGAGCGATCGTGCCCCAGTCATTCCGACCCCTGCTTTAGGCATCAACCATTTGCTTTCTGTTCCTATGGATTTGCTCCTTCTTGACATTTCCTCTAAACGGAGCTCTGTGCTTTGTGTTTCTGGCTTCTTCACTAAGCGACATGACTCCAGATTAATCCATGGTTCAGCACTGACTTCCTTCTTATAGCTGAGTATCATTTCCTGTGTGGTCGGGCCACATTCATGCAATGATTCCTTCATGGATGAACGCTGGGCTGGGTTCTGAGCTCTGAATAAACCCTGTAGCTCCACACACTTTTAGTTTCTTGAATTTGGCTGCTTTTTTAAAGCATGAGTTATGGAAGTCTCATAGCTATCAACCTAAGTCTTGTACTAGCTTATGACAGATCTCATCGGTAAAATGTAGATTCTGAGGATGATGACTTCCTAGGTTATTTTTGAAAAATTGGAAATACCGATTTTTAAAAGTTACACTTTTCTGGTGTGGGTAGTTCATGCATGTAATCTCAGCTACTCAGGAGATGGAAATCAGGAGGACTACATTTGAGGCCAAACAAGGGGGGAAAATGTACACTTTTCCATTCAGTAAATGAGCTGGTCTCCTCCTGAGCAAAAAGAGCCATGCTGAAGGTACCATAATCCATAGGTTATACAACAGGGCCAGATGAGCATAAACTGCAAAGCACTGACACAAAGACACATAGACCAGTGGTTAGAAAACCCAAAAATAAGCCTTTGTAGTTGCAGCCCATCTGAGTCTTGGCACAGGCACCAAAGATACACATTAGAGAAGACAGTCTCATCAGCAACTGGTGCTGGGAAAACTGGATAGCCACATATAGAAGAGCGGATGTGAGCCCTATACCCAAATCAGTTCAAAGTGTATCAGAAACCTTAATACAAGACCTGAACACTTGAAACTACAAGATCTCCTACCAGAATTTTGGTCTATGCAGCTCCTTCTCTACAGATGGATAAGACAGAGGAGCCAGAAGTGCTTCAGCTTGGGGCTGAGGGAGGCTGTGCTTGGATTTGGGAGGTCTGAGAGGAATAGTGAGATGTAGGACTTCACTTTTGGCAAGAATTGGGGCCTGGACATGAGGAAGAAATGGACATGACACCTCTGGCTCTAGATTCTAAGGCTGGCATTTCCCTCTGTGATAACATTCTCTTTCCAGACAAAGCTTCCTTCAAATGAGTCTGAAAAGGCAGCCAAGATGGCTTATTGCACAGATTAGTGGCATCTAGTCGCAGGGTCCAAACAAAGCAATGTAGTCAGCACCACAGGGGTAGAGGCGGCTTTGGGCCCAAGAGAAAGGCTATGTCCTGCCTCCAGGGGCCCAGCCTGGAGTAAGTGGGCAGCTCAGAGGCAGGAGCTTGCACCTGACTCGAGAACTGTGGGACCACGCCCCAACTGTGGGGATGAGCCTGCTGCTGTCTGCCCTGGGAGCAGGAGGCCTCTGCTCACTCCTGCTCCCACGAAAGACATGACACTCCTGGGAGGGCTGAGAGTGGGACCTGGGTTTCGGAGATCAGAACCCTGGACTGGGTAAGGCTCTTGGGCATATTGATGATAGAGCCACGGCAAAGGGGTGTTTCATTTTTATATCCTCGTGGGGTCTCCCTGGCAGAGGAGGAGGTTTGCCGAGGTCTCTGAGGGCCCAGGCAGCAGCTGCCCTGAGGCTGAGAGGCAGCTTAGGGTCCCCCCTTGGCTGGGCCCTCTGGGGGGCCCTGCTTCCTTCCTCTGTCAGTGCGTGGGCTCCAGAAAAGCTTTTTTCCATTCATCAGAATTTCTATTTCCCCAGGAAACAAAGGAGGAGACAACAATGCTTGATAAGAAATGTACTCATTACCTTGCTCATGTAATTGTAACCCTTCTGTATGGTATTTTCACAATAAAAAATAATAAAGAACAAAGAAGGAAATAAATAATTTCTGTTCCCCAGGTAAAGGCTTGTTAATGACCATCCACTTGAACCATTGACTTCCCAATAGTTTTTTTTTAACCAACTGAGGTGTGTTTGGAGGAAGATTTAAGGTCCTAGAAATACCAAACTGCAACCTAGCTCCTAAGCCAATTGTCCCCAAACCAGGGCTTCCCCGTGGTGACCCCAAGTTCTTTCTCCTCTCGAGGAGCTGCCTGACCACTGGTCATGTTCCATACCATCTGGGCTCTATCATCCTAGCTCTGTGCTCAATCCTTTTTGTATCAAACCCTTAGATTCTCCTTATCTCCCTCAGAAAAAGACAGGTGAGCCATTCCAGGATTCACCCGAGGCTCAGCGCTATCTAGGCACAGGAAACAAATGAGGCCAAGGGTGTGTAGATACCAGGCACCAGTAACAAAAGTAGGAGCTGGTGCAGAGGATGATGTGGAGTCCCAAGTTCAAGGCCCCCATGGCTG